TTCGGATTGATTCAAGGATCTTCGGGTCTTCCTTTTTAGGTTTTTTTCATCATGAGTTTTGAGAGTTGATTCATCCTCCGTTCTTTTCGATGTATTAGTTGGATCAGTCTCCCCTCTCTCTCACCCTGTTTTTGTTCTTTTTTTTTCTTTCTTTGCTTCTTGGTTTGGTTTTTTTATGCTTATGTCTGATACATAAGTGTCCATGTATAGTCTCTTGTTATACGTGAAACCATCAAGCAAGGTCGCAAGTAGGTCAATTTTGTTTTAGAGATTCGGGCGGTGATGACAAAAACACACCGGGGATAGAGCAGAATGATATGTCATCCTACGACATCGGGATCCGATTCAGGAACCCATCCGATCCGATTCAAGAACCCGGTGAGCTGTAAGATGACAGTATCATTCACCGACATATGAGTAGCGGGAGTTGACCCGAATCTTCTTAGGTTGCTAAGTTGTTGGTAGTCATATGCTCGACAACGCGATCGACTCGTGGACAACTACTTTTCAAAATTGATAAAAACAAATTTGATAAGAACGGATACACTTTTTTCAAAAATAAAAATACATTTTTCGCTACAAACAAAATTGATACAGCCCATTTTTTGCATGTTTGAAACCTATGTGCATGCTGAAAATATAAATTTTAAATACATTTTAAACATTGGTTGTCCACCTGTCGATCATCTGTTTAGGCTAAGGAATACCCTCTTTGTTCGATGGGACACTCTTCTAGTTGAGTGGCGGGTTTTATACATCTGGGTGACCGAGTAGCCTTCGACGACCCTCGAGTACTAATATATAGTTGAGTCTAGCCCCCCTCTTTTCGGACTTTTTCATATGTTTTTCTTGGAATTTTTGGACAAAGCACTCGTGGTCTCTTTTCGGGATTTTCCCGTGTTTTCTACAATTTTAATTGATTTGTCGATTTTCTCGCATTTCTCTTGTCGTGAGTTTTTTGACAATCTTTCTCGAAATTTTTGGACGATGTTTCTTTGTTTTCGTTTATATAAAGCATTTCAGCATGTTTCCTCAAGTTTTGTTGTTCGTACATGTTGCATCAATTACACATAAGGAACAGCGGACCTCCCAGGTATACAGGCTTGTTTTATATTTACAACATACTATTTTCTTGCAAATCACCTACCTGCTGTATTTTTTTTTACTTTTCTTTTACCACGCATGTTGTACTGTTCTCTCTACTGCTTGTCCTGTGCTACATATCCTACTGTTATGCTATACACTATACAACTTCAATATGTTCCCTATAAAATATCTGAAGAACTACAACCATAGGGCCGCTGGATTTAACATTATAACCTGACACCCTAAAAAACTTAAACTCATCACGACAAGGAACTTGGAACTAGCGCGATGGGCAGCACGACCATCTTCAACAGCAGAACATGTCTTCCCCAGCTAAACTATTTCTTTCCTAGAAATTAAAACAACAATCCATAGGATTTCGAGGTTGTTCTCCTAACGCAACATAAATCCTCAACCTTTTATTTAAGCATTTGTATAGCTCTGTTGTACGATCTAAGCCCTAACTCGTTTTAGAATTATGAGGTTGTCGTTCGTTACGACCTAAATCCTCACATCTTACAGACTATTTGTGTGATCGTTTCACACGAATGTAAGCCCTAAATAGATAAAATTGACAAGATAAAACACTTGAATATTTCTCCTTGAAACTGAAGTCAAACCATAAGGTACACTAGGAAGTCACCGAGAATCTCCTCTGGATCTGTGGCATCCCCTAGTTCTTCTTTCTTTGGATTCTGTAATAAATGTTCCAAATTTGTTTTGAGTCATTCCCCTTTCAAATTTTGAGTCATTCCCCTTTCACACATTTTTGTTCGATTTTGTTGAAAAGTTTCATCCTTTTGAAGTCCTTGAAGACAATTTTTCCTGATTTTTATTGAGAGTATTCTTAAGTGACTTCGGTCATTTAAGATGTAATTAACTATAGGGGCTTGAGTCTGTATAGATGTCAAATTGGTCCACATTGTCTTTAAATTGGGGCTCTAATAATACTCCATGGGGATTATTTCAGCCCAAATTTAAGGTGCCTTGGGACTAATTTGACACTTTTATAGACTTTCAGACTAAATGACCCCAAGTAAATAATAATAAAACAATAAAGTGCCAAAATAGTCCCCCGACTATTTGCATGGGGTCTTTTTAGTCCCAGAGTTTATACAAATGTCAAATTAGTCCCCATATACTTTAAATTGGGGCTCTAATAACTATATGAGGATTATTTCAGTCTAAATTTAAAGTGCCTTGGGACTAATTTGACACTTTTATTGACTTTCGGACTAAATGACCCCATGTAAATAGTAATAAAAAAATAGAATAAAGTGCCAAAATAGTCCCCTGACTATTTGCATGGGGTCTTTTTATTCTGAGAGTCTGTATAGATGTCAAATTGGTCCACATTGTCTTTAAATTGGGGCTCTAATAATACTCCATGGGGATTATTTCAGCCCAAATTTAAGGTGCCTTGGGACTAATTTGACACTTTTATAGACTTTCAGACTAAATGACCCCAAGTAAATAATAATAAAACAATAAAGTGCCAAAATAGTCCCCCGACTATTTGCATGGGGTCTTTTTAGTCCCAGAGTTTATACAAATGTCAAATTAGTCCCCATATACTTTAAATTGGGGCTCTAATAACTATATGAGGATTATTTCAGTCTAAATTTAAAGTGCCTTGGGACTAATTTGACACTTTTATTGACTTTCGGACTAAATGACCCCATGTAAATAGTAATAAAAAAATAGAATAAAGTGCCAAAATAGTCCCCTGACTATTTGCATGGGGTCTTTTTATTCTGAGAGTCTGTATAGATGTCAAATTGGTCCACATTGTCTTTAAATTGGGGCTCTAATAATACTCCATGGGGATTATTTCAGCCCAAATTTAAGGTGCCTTGGGACTAATTTGACACTTTTATAGACTTTCAGACTAAATGACCCCAAGTAAATAATAATAAAACAATAAAGTGCCAAAATAGTCCCCCGACTATTTGCATGGGGTCTTTTTAGTCCCAGAGTTTATACAAATGTCAAATTAGTCCCCATATACTTTAAATTGGGGCTCTAATAACTATATGAGGATTATTTCAGTCTAAATTTAAAGTGCCTTGGGACTAATTTGACACTTTTATTGACTTTCGGACTAAATGACCCCATGTAAATAGTAATAAAAAAATAGAATAAAGTGCCAAAATAGTCCCCTGACTATTTGCATGGGGTCTTTTTATTCTGAGAGTCTGTATAGATGTCAAATTGGTCCACATTGTCTTTAAATTGGGGCTCTAATAATACTCCATGGGGATTATTTCAGCCCAAATTTAAGGTGCCTTGGGACTAATTTGACACTTTTATAGACTTTCAGACTAAATGACCCCAAGTAAATAATAATAAAACAATAAAGTGCCAAAATAGTCCCCCGACTATTTGCATGGGGTCTTTTTAGTCCCAGAGTTTATACAAATGCCAAATTAGTCCCCATATACTTTAAATTGGGGCTCTAATAACTATATGAGGATTATTTCAGTCTAAATTTAAAGTGCCTTGGGACTAATTTGACACTTTTATTGACTTTCGGACTAAATGACCCCATGTAAATAGTAATAAAAAAATAGAATAAAGTGCCAAAATAGTCCCCTGACTATTTGCATGGGGTCTTTTTATTCTGAGAGTCTGTATAGATGTCAAATTGGTCCACATTGTCTTTAAATTGGGGCTCTAATAATACTCCATGGGGATTATTTCAGCCCAAATTTAAGGTGTCTTGGGACTAATTTGACACTTTTATAGACTTTCAGACTAAATGACCCCAAGTAAATAATAATAAAACAATAAAGTGCCAAAATAGTCCCCCGACTATTTGCATGGGGTCTTTTTATTCCGAGAGTCTATACAGATACCAAATTGGTCCCCGTATTCTTTAAAACAGGGGCTCTAATAATACTCCATGAGAATTATTTCAGCCCAAATTTAAAGTGTCTTGGACTAATGTGACACTTTTATAGACTTTCGGACTAAAATAGCCCCATGTAAATAGTTATGTAACGATTTGGCACTTGACTCCAAAACAATTGTAATCTGATTCATCCTACGTCAAACCCATGATCATTTACCTTGTCGGTATGGTGAGAAATAGTAGCAACACATTTCCCAGTAATTACATCCCATATCTTGACCAACTTGTCCGCACTTGCACTAGCCAAGACATTCCTGTAAGTTCCAACGAGCATATTTATAATAGAACAGGATATTATCTGCAAATAATAGTAATAAAAGCAAATTGTGTATTCCTCACCTCACCTCCTTATTCCAGGCAAGTCCAAGAACAGCGTCTCTATGGCTATCTTTCCTGTAGACCACTGATTTCTGTTGTTAAGAAAACTACAAAATTAGACTAGTGAAAGCTGACCGTTAACACCTAAAGATTTTAAATTCATTGAGATTTCTGTTGTTAAGAAAACTACAAAATTAGAATAGTGAAAACTGACCGTTAACACCTAAAGATTTTAAATTCATTGAAGAGATATTACTTTACTGAATGTCACTCAATAGGCTGTTTAGAAATTGATGGAATTAAGGATTAAGCAAACAAAAACAATCAGATTATTTTTATTTATTATTATTTTTTTTTTTTTGTTAGAAACACCAGGGAGAAAGGAGGTCAGCATATTAAACTTTAACTCTTTATCTAATGTGGCTTTTAAAGTTGAAACTTTATTAACTTGTATGCATGCTTTCTATTTACATACCAACTGTTTTAACCTATGTCATTTTCCTTCCTAATGGGCTAATAGCTAGGGATAATTTTTCATCCTATTAGTAAAGCTACTAAAGTTGACACACCATATTGTTCATATATTAAACTTCTTGATTAATTGCTACTCTTCCAGCTTTATGAACTACAGTGTGTTTTTTTGTCTTTTTTTTAGAAATGAAATTTTTTAGCCAATTATGAAAATTGATTCAACTTGACACAATTACAAAGATTATTTAGAAGACAAATTAAGTAGATTACATGTAATAGAACATAATATAATTGGAAGAGAGAGAATATCCAACCAAGTGATGAGTGGCCCCATTTGCTCCTCACAAATCAAGAATGGCAAATTATTTTATTTTGTTTCAAAATAGAAAATTTCAATAAATTAATAATTTTCCTTTATTCCTACCTCTACTAGTAAGTAGGATTTGAAATTTATCTTCTTTTTCTTTGGTTTTTGTTACTTTTATTCAGATTATATGACTAATCAGGTATTGGGTCAATAATTAACCAGAAAAAAGCTAAAATGTGGAAGAATAAGTTCACCCACACTCGAAAATCCAAGCAACAGAGCTTGATGTTGGAGAACAAAGATCGAACAGCAAATCTTTGCAAGAATAAAAAATTAAGAAATGGCTTACCTTTATCGCCACCTTTAAGGTTACAATCCAGCCATGCTGTGCAGAGGGGGAAAGCGGGTAATATGACATCATGATGCACATACATATTTGCATCTCCATCTCTTGATTCCTCAAAAATCCAAATCTATCATAACAAGATCATTACAGCTGATTAGAAAGAAAAAGAATTCCAATAAAAAGAACTAGCACTTTAGATTTTTTTCCAACAAAAAAAGTTGTGTTCTTTACACTAGGGTTATAGTTTCTGTGCTAGCTTCAAGAACATCAAAATTTGAAAAAAGTTTAGATATTGTGGAAAAAATATCATTAAGTTATAATATATATACTTCATTAATATGGATTTATCATTCAATGAAATTTCTAGAGCAGTGACCTGTCTTATAAATTTTAGTATCTATTCTGACATTTTATTTTCTTATCATCCTACTTGACAATTTTCCATCATATCCATTTTTCTTCCTCATGCTTGATATAAGATACTAAAAAAGAAAAAAAAATCGGAACATTGAAACGTTATAGTTGACAAATCATAGTTTTCGGATTATCAAACCTAGCATACTAAAGCTTGTGAAGTCAATTTCAAACAAGCTCATGCAATATTTCTCCTATTTGGATAATCATATATGCATATAAATATAAATATATATATA